CTATGAAACCTGGGGTTGGATGGGGTGAGGAATAGAATTATCTAAAACAGTTGTCTGGTCTAATATGGGAGTAATAGCAGGCCAAATTAAAATAATCTCCAGTTACATCAATCAGATTACCTTGTCTCCCATTTGCCATAAGCAAAATACTGGGTTATTTTAAGGATGACTTTGCAACATAACTTCACCATAATATTGTGCTGATCTTTTCCTGACATTAGGGAAATTTTATGATAAGAAGAAAATAATAAACAGGATACAAAGGTATTTTATTCCTCTCATTCTCCCACAGAAAAATAAAAAAGACTAAAAAATGTCTTTTTCCCTCCCTACTGAATACATACTGTATTATAGTCATTCCTCCCTTCTTCTTCCCCTCTCGTTCCTCCCCCTCCTTTTCTCCTCCCTCTTACCCTCTCTCCTACTCTTGATTTCCTCTCCTTTACTCCCTCTGCTTTATCCTTTCTTCCTTTCCCTCCTCCTCCTTCCTCCCTTCTTCTTCCCCTCTCGTTCCTCCCCCCTCCTCTTTTCTCCTCCCTCTTACCCTCTCTCCTACTCTTGATTTCCCCTCCTTTACTCTCTCTGCTTTATCCTTTCTTCCTTTCCCTCCTCCTCCTTCCTCCCTTCTTCCCCTCTCGTTCCTCCCCCTCCTCTTTTCTCCTCCCTCTTACCCTCTCTCCTACTCTTGATTTCCCCTCCTTTACTCTCTCTGCTTTATCCTTTCTTCCTTTCCCTCCTCATCTTTCCTCCTTTCTGCTGTTGCCCTTGCTTATTTACTTTCTCTAATGGGTTCTTGGGGTGGCATTTCAGGAAAAACAACTTTATATTTTCATACATATCATTTTCTCTCTTACATTTTATTTCTAATAATTCCACTTGTATTATTTTTTAAATTGTTATCTTGCATTATAGTCTCTCCTGCTGTCTCTTTGGGGAGAAGGGAGCGGGTACTTCAATTGCACTGTATTCTTAGTTTGTGTAAACATGAAATCTCCATGCCTCAAAAAAAAATAAAGCATTTGTTCCTTTATACATGTATTATAATTATACCCATCAATCCAATCCTTTGGGGCAAAATTCAAGTCATACGCATAATAAATAATAAAACAGAAAAAGCCACAACTTACAGTCATTGGAGGTTGGCTACTACATAAGAAGAAGTTGATTTTGCATGCATTGCATTGCAGCGCTCTGCAATGTGTGCATTGAACACACATAGTCCTCAACTTACAACACTTCACTGAGTGACTGTTCAAAGTTACAACGGCGCTGAAAAGTGACTTAAGACCATTTTTCACACTTGCGACCATCACAGCATTCCCTACGGCCACGTGATTTACATCCGGGTGCTTGGCAACTGATTCACGTTTACGACAGCTGCAGCCTACGATTCCCCCCCTCCTTTGGCGCCCTTCCGACGAGTGAAGAAACCAGATTCACTTAACCCCCGTCCAACCAATTGAAGAAACTGCAGCGATTCACTTGAACCCGTGGGGCAGGAATCGTCGTAAAACAGAGCAAAACTCACCGGACACATTTCTCATCCGTGTAAATTTGTCATCAATATCAATGTGTTGGGCTCAATTGTGGTTCTTGGGTTGAGGACTACTACGTGGTTGCAGGAGGCTGACTGCATTTGAGAGGCAAAGAGGCGGACAGCCGCTGGCTGCATTGAAGGGTGACGCACCCCTTTGTAAACCCCCCCCCCCGGAGAGGTCGCCCACATTTTTCTAACTGGGATCCAAAGGCTCCCCCTTAAGGCAGTGGTCTCCAACCTTGGCAACTTTAAGATCTGTGGACTTCAACTCCCAGAGTTCTTCAGCCAGCTTGAAGTCCAGAACTCTTAAAGTTGCCAAGGTTGGAGACCACTGATCTATAGCACTGTCTATGGCAGAGGACTTCAAAGTTGGCACCTTAAAGACTTGTGGACTTCAACTCCCAGAATTCTCCAGCCAACTGGAGCTTTGCTGGCTGAGGAACTCTGGGAGTTGAAGTCCACAAGTCTTAAAGTTGCCAAGGTTGGAGACCATTGATCTATAGCACTGTCTATGGCAGAGGACTTCAAAGTTGGCACCTTAAAGACTTGTGGACTTCAACTCCCAGAATTCTCCAGCCAGCTGGAGCTTTGCTGGCTGAGGAACTCTGGGAGTTGAAGTCCACAAGTCTTAAAAGTTGCCAAGGTTGGAGACCACTGATCTATAGCACCGTCTATGGCAGAGGACTTCAAAGTTGGCACCTTAAAGACTTGTGGACTTCAACTCCCAGAATTCTCCAGCCAGCTGGAGCTTTGCTGGCTGAGGAACTCTGAGAGTTGAAGTCCACAAGTCTTAAAGTTGCCAAGGTTGGAGACCACTAATGTATAGCACTGTCTATGGCAGAGGACTTCAAAGTTGGCACCTTTAACACTTCTTGGAGTTGAAGTTGACAAGTCTAAAGTTGACAAGGTTGGAGACCACTGATCTATATCACTGTCTATGGCAGAGGACTTTAAAGTTGGCACCTTTAACACTTCTTGGAGTTGAAGTCCACAAGTCTTAAAGTGGCCAAGGTTGGAGACCACTGATCTATAGCACTGTCTATGGCAGAGGAAATCAAAGTTGGCACCTTTAAGACTTGTGGACTTCAACTCCCAGAATTCTCCAGCCAGCTGGAGCTTTGCTGGCTGAGGAACTCTGAGAGTTGAAGTCCACAAGTCTTAAAGTTGCCAAGGTTGGAGACCACTAATGTATAGCACTGTCTATGGCAGAGGACTTTAAAGTTGGCACCTTTAACACTTCTTGGAGTTGAAGTCGACAAGTTTTAAAGTTGCCAAGGTTGGAGACCACTGATCTATAGCACTGTCTATGGCAGAGGACTTTAAAGTTGGCACCTTTAAGACTTGTGGACTTCAACTCCCAAATTTTCCAGCCAGCTGGCTGGAGACTTCTGGGAGTTGAAGTCCACAAG